AATATGCATTCTCCTGCCATAACCCGTTCGCTCGTGCCTCACGTGCCAATACGAAAGCAGCTGATGTTCATTTGTTTATGCATTCATCAAATTTCTCTGAGCTGTGCACGTGATGTTAACAAAAGTTGTACTCACGAACAACCCACTTCTGCTTCAAAGCTAGTTAAAATGCGTAAATCTTTAATCAAAATAAGCAGAACTCTTAGGGCTCTTTTTTAACTGTTATTTAAGCTTAGATTTACAATAAAACAAAGCCTTGGAGACAGCCAAAGCACTGGATGTTTTGGAATTCCCGCTATTTTATTTGCAATGAAAGCTAGAAGTTATCAATCGTCTTTGTTTGATCGATTTCATGCTTAATTTAATTACCAAACAATAAAAATGTCGATATAGCAGCACACAAAAGCAAAGTCATCATGAAAAATTGTGTAATTTTTGCAAGGAACAATTACTAACCCGCTAGATTTGGAGGCCTATAACTTTAAAAAGATTGGTGGAAAATAAAATAAAACGAATGTCTATTTTCCATTATATCGCTTACTCACAATGGTAAGTTTTACGTTATTATGAATAGAAAATGTAATATTTTTTGTCACAATGAAAAAATAATGTTTTTCTTTTAACTTTCCTAATATTTGTGTGATTTATGTATATATAAATTGAAGTTGTATTTCCATCACATCATAGCAATTTAATGTTGTTTTTGAACCAATAATTAAAACATATTTTCGATAAATATTTTAAAGTCATTGCAAATTTTCTTATAATTTAATAGCAAAATGTAGATATTGTTACTTTATTTAAAAACAACGTGTACTTCTTCATTATACCTATGTAGCTAAATTTGTATTTAATAAATTAATATTTCTTCAATATCGCTATATTCCTCTACTATTATTATATTTGTATATTGATGTAAGCAATTTTTTTCACGCACGAGTCCCTACATGGGCAACACACATGCGTACATAGACACGCACACACACATAGGGACAGCTGTAATGTGTAGCATACTTTTCTGCAGTTGCTATTTTTGCGTGGCCTTTACATATTAAGTTTATGTTTTATCGTTTATTGCAGCACCAACAGATAGGCATACATACACAAAGATACACTTGCGCTCTCACGCAGACATAAAAGTATATTGCTTACATAATTTAACAAACATTTTCATTTATATTCATGCGTCTATATGACCGTGTGTGCGTTAAACATTTATTGCGCGCCTGTCTGGTCAACTCCGCACAAATATAGGCACAAACATAGGCACAAATATAGCACCACTCCCACAACCATGACTCGCCAATGAGGCATGCTTAATGATTATTACATTTGTTATTTTTATTTATGTTTATTTATCTTCCGCCTGACCGTGTCCGCATAACAATTTTTTGACTGCCCAAAACCCACGACTCGTGCCCGCTTTTATTTTGAAGGATACTTTAACGGACCTAGCACAAATTTTAGCTCTACATGCAACCATTTGTCGGCGTCGAACCGACAGCGTGCATATTTTAGGTCCTAAGCCGCTTAACTTGTATTTTCGGACTTAAGGCCGAGCTAAACAGCGTCAGCATTTCATGTACTTATTTTACTGTGTTTAAGAGGTGGCAGACAGCTTAGCCACATTTTCACATCAGCCGACATATGTGCATTATAGCAAGAAACTCGTTAGTTGCTTGAGATGCGTTGAGCTTTTGGAATTACTCTTAAAAAAATATATATTTTAACTGAGCCCATACTAACTAATTTCAATACAATTTTTATACACACCACAATGAAAATGTCCACTTTTCCATTTTAAGAGGTATAGTACAATTATTCTTTGAACACACCCTGCCCTCCAATAATATATATGTATAATCATATATAATCATAATTGACCAAGAGTCTTTTAAAAGTAAGCACATTTCCGTTAAGTAAGTCCGACAAAACGTCCTACTACGTTACACACATGATGATTAGAAACATCGAAGGAATGATGAGATGGGTGAGCAGAAGAGATAATATCAGCCACCAACAATCGTATGCAAGCAGTTTCAGCTGAAAATCAGAAACACTAACAATGACCTCAAAAACGTTGGAGCAGGCACAAGTCACTTTCCAATCCTTTTATCTGCAAAGGAATTTGTAGACTAACAGCACTAGTTCGTTGTTGACAGTCATTTCTTAACTCACCGGCAAAAGTTATTAAAAAGAAGCAAGCAATCAATAGGTCAAAAAGTTAAAAAACTCGCCAATAGATTGTCCTTTTCTTGGACCATGTGCGAACGAAAGCGGGTAATGAAATTGCACAGTTATACTCTGAAATTAATACCACATAGTAATATTTCAGCAATCATAAATCATTTGGTCTGCCCCTAATAAATGAAAAACTGAGGCTTAGCATTAAACCAACAAAACAAAAACACACATGTTGTTATGTTAGGGCAGTCGAAATAAATGGAATCAAAAAGTTTGCTGCAAAGAACACAGATACACAGATACAAACACACACATAAAATGATGCTCATGCTGACAAAGTCAAGTTGACATTTCCAGGCGGAAATGCAGTCGTTGCTTTTAATAAACAGTTTGGTATTGTTGTTTTTATTGCAAGCCACAGCAGCCCCAACTATCATTGTACAGCACGCACTCATCTTCATTTTAGTTTTGTCCCTCTTTTTCTTTTTGTTCTTCTTGTTTTTGTTACGACAACAAAATTGGCTTAAACTGTTGAAGTTCATAAAACAAACAACTCGAAGCGCCAGCAGGGACAAAATTTGAAAAGTTGCAAGTGGCATCACGAAAAACTTTCTCATTGTACTAGTGGTAGTAGTTGCCCCCTCTTCAGATGCTGTTGGCTGTTAGTTAGTTGGTGAGACTTGCCGCCTGAACTTGAAATGTACGTTAGTTAAATTATCAGCTTTGACTCAGTGACGACAGCAACGAAAACAACGACAATGCGACATCATCTGCCTCAGCCACTGACTCTGCCGCCCCAAAGTTTCGGAAACAAAATGAAATTTTATTTTTTATATTTCGCAGACACTCGCCGACATACAATGGCCCCGATGGGATTAACACACAACATGGTCTGGGGCTTGAAGGAATTTGTGCAAAATATTGTTTCTTTCTTATTTGTTTGTTTTGGCCTGGCCATAATTTGCCATTACCCATTAGCGTGTGTGCCCGCCACAAAGTATACCATAATTCACTTAACCAAACACGCAGTTCATCGTCATAAGCCCCATATGTAGTACATATACAAGTATGTATTTAGTATGTATATAATATGTGTGTTTCCATATGTGTAATTTCGGCTTAAGATGACCCACAAAGTAGCCGCAGGCAACAGCCACTTGCCTGTATATTCGTGTGTGTTTGTGTGCATCTGGCATAATGGTAAGATGTGTAGGGTCTTATGTGGAGCTATATTGAGGTTTTGAAATTGGATTTTAATAGAATAAGCTCAAGGGGATTGCGCAAACAGGCAAGCCTTTGGATTCATTGACGCTAACCAGAAAATTTTCTCCTCACCTACTTATAATTTGTATAAGTATGATTAACATACCATCTTTGTAACCAATTTTATAAACCAGTTAAGCTTAACCTTCTAAGAAATTAATCTTGTTAATGTTAAGCAAAGCATTTCTATTACGAAAACATAATTCGCAATTCATTCGTCTTCTCTAGCGCTGTCCTATAATAATATAAAATGTTCATGAGTTCGATTAACATATCCTCCTCTTGTCCAATTTTATAAACAAGTTAATCTTACACTTCTAATTAACCTTTTTAAGATTAAAACCATTTTTAAAGCGAAGTTTTTTTTGACGACAACATAATTCGCAATCCATTCGTCTGTTGTTTTTTATGAAAGCAGATAGCGCATAAAAAGTGTATTGATATGTTGGATTTGTTGAATGCTCCAATAGAAACAATAGACAATATCCAATATCTTTATCAAAACAATAATGCAATACTAGAGTCGTATTCAACTCAATTGCTCTGAATGACCTTTCATCGATCTAGGCCCCATTTAAACACTTATACAATGGAAAATGTGCCATTGCAACGTGAAGGGACGGTGTCAAGGATCTTATAGATTTCAAATTAAATTTCAATCACACACCCAACTACTATGGGTGTACTCAGATTAATTTAAATATGGTCCACAAAATGTAATGATTGAAAAACTAAACAGCTGGACACTTTACTATGTTACCGTCAATGCGTTTATTATCAAAAGTACGGTTAGCATCCGGATCGTATTAGTCAGTCGAGCTCCAACCTATTCCATCCGTGGATTAAACTGGAATCCCATCCTTTGTTTGCATTCGTACTCGAGCATGCTTTTGCTTTTAAATCTGTCTTCGCTAGAAACTCGAAACACTCTCCTTGGTGTCATTTTTCTACACAAGGTAATTATCGGCTGTGTAGACTTCTTTGTCCTCTTAGGTCGGCTAACCTTTCTTGTTTCTTGTAGACCAACTAATAATTAATTAATTTCCATCCATCTTCTCAAGATGCACAACTAACTACGCTTTGTACAATGTTTTTCGGGTTTTATGTTTTGATTATAATGATCTTCCCTACTCAGAAAAGACCAGACTGTCTTAAATTTTAAAACATCTCTCTTTAAGCATATTTGAGAAAATCTCTGAGTGGAATTGGAGCTTGTTTTTCTCCCTTAAATATAATTCGCTATTATCGTCTACAACCACATTTCGCATTAAATGCCCCCCAACAAGTCAGAGGTATAAATACATAAAACTTTCAAGATTTGAAGAAGTTAAGCCTTTTGAGTTGAAATTTTAAACGTTTCATGAACTTGCATGCCCTCTTTTGTTCTACACACCACACAAAGAAGGGTTACGGCTTTTATGTGCAGGATTATAAAATCAACTGACTTCTTCTCAGAAGAGATTAAATCGTTAAAGAGCACTTTGTTAGGTTCCCATATGCAACTCAAACAGATTAAAACATTGAGCTCTTGTGTACTTCCCCATTTACATACATACATACATAAGTCGCTCTTTATTCATTTACAAACATATCAGAGTTTCTTGGATTTCAGTTTTAGTGTTTTTTTGTTTTAGCGTATTTTACTACTAATTTTAAATATTAATGCATACATAACAAAACAATTTGATTATATTTTCATTTGTAGCTCAGCTTCAACGCATTTCTTCGCCAATTTTATTTGAATTTTGACTGCAGACGGGCCGGGAAAGTGGTGTTGAAGCAGCGATAAACACTACAAAACTTCTTTTCATTCATTGTGTATGTATATTGAAATTTATGAAAGACTTGGCAGACCGTCTGCGAGCAGAGCAAAAATAAACTAAATTAAGTAAACTAGATTAAATATACGTACGCGAATGTATAATGCCATATACATACAAGCGTACATAAACATACATAGATGCTACAAGTGCTGATTGCTTACTAGTTAATCCTATTCCTGATTCAGGTTTTTGATCACGTAATTAACAATGAGTGCAAATATTGCAAAGCAGATAATAATCACCAGGTTCGAATAGACCGACTGCCAATTTAGATAGGAATTACGTGCACTGTTCTGCAGCGCTGGGCCACCATTGGCCAAATCTGCTGGAGCAGCACCCGCTAATGTTCCTATGTCCGCTGCAATGAGATGACCATTGGGGCTGGCATGTATATTGTTATTTTCGAGGGCGCCATTACCCATGCGTGTTGCGGCGCCCGCGGACGATGTGGACTTTGAGGGGTCACCCTGAGTGCCGTGTAACCGTATCTTTATTTCGTCCACGATGTCGGGAAAGAGCTCACAAAAGTTTTGATTGCGCAGGTTAAATGCCAACGATTTCTGCGCAAACATTTGTTTATCGTAATTCGAAGACTCAATTGAACCTAATGTAGGTGTGCTCTCCAACTGTAAAAAAGAAAAGTGACTGTATAATTAATGTACAATGTTTCCTGTGGGCACGATTTCAGTTACAATGACTTTATTGTAATTCGATTTTATTATAACAAATAGAAGAATTCGAAATAAAAGCGAATCCTTCAAAACAAATTACTTTATACTTGTAGGACATTAAATCGGTCATATCTTGAATCAAACGTTCGTTAGAATTTGCATTGTTTTTTGATAATAAATAAAGTGTTACATTTTAATAGGAGCATCACAATCTGATATCGGTGCACAGGTTTATAATATTACATATATGCATACGAATGCACTGAATTATTGGTTTCATCATCTTACCATAAAACTCAACAAGCCTGTGAGTATAGTACCAACACACCAAGTGGGATTCCAAGTGTCTGGATGAAAATCTGCAGGGACAGGATATTTTGACCTCAAATCAATCTGACACAGTATATGTATGTATATTAAAAGTTACCTGAAATGCTTAGGCACAGCCTGGTGTTCGTCTTGAAGCGACCATTTGGCGTGAGCATATATATCGATGGCGGTTTGAATGGAAACTCGCGCGGGAATAGTAGTGTGCCGTGATAGTAGCCTCCATAATATGGTGAATCCTCCGGGCCCTTTACACAGTAGTGCCACTCCAGTATGTTATTCGGCAGCGGTTCGGCTGTGATATAAGGCAAGGGGTCGCGCTTCAGTCGCATGTAGTCTTGTTTCATTCGCGAAACAGCTGTGGGCTGCTTTCGCGCTCCAGACGTAGCCGACGACGACATTTTGGCTAACGATTTTGCGTTTTGGAATTGATTGTTGTTTCTGTGCAGGCCGGAAATGAAACTGTCAAAGAAAGATAACATTCTGAGTTATAACCCATTCGCACACTTTTGCACAATTTATTGAGTGGTGTGAAGCCGATGCTTGTGCCAGTTTGGCAAATGAAAATTACAATGATAAGGGAGCACACACTCAAGCGGCCACTAGGGTAGGCAGCGTATGTGCAACTGCACACACAAATTACGCTTCCCGTCCCACCATCTATGACTACGACGTGTACATACCCGTAACGTTGTGAAAATTGCCTTGACTCGCTCTTGGATCAGGAGCCACCGAAAATGTGTGTTCACTATTTTCGCCGCGTTTATTGTAGTTCCACGGCGACGCTTTGGTTTTTTTTTTTCCGTGCGTCGCTTCTTGTTTGAGGAACAACCTTCGCTGAGAAGCTTCCTTATTGTTTTTCGTTTTTGTTGTAAATGTGTTGTGTCGCAGTCGCTGCGCAGTCAATGGCGCTGCCACAGCAAAGTGCGTGAACGGAAAAAAACAACAGAGCACTTAAGCTAAGATGTTTTTGGTTGACGATCGCTTTTAGTTGCTGTGCTTGGGCGAAACTAAGAACTGATGAATTAGACTAACAGAAGGCAATAGGATTGTTGTGTTGCGTGTTTAGATTGATGCGAAAAATTAGCGTAAATTGCTTTCTCTTGACGTCTACTTTCGTTCTTATCGATTAGTGTTGCTAAGCGACATTAAGCGGTAGTGCTTGCAACGCCAAGTCACAAGTCAGCGCTGCCAACGCTGCTTATTTTAAACGACGAGCTCGACGAATCGATAAAAATAATACGCAAATAAACAGAAATTCGAAAAAACATGTAGAGTTTTTGTTTTTGAATGTTCAAAAACAGTACACATTTCATTACAAAGGCTACCAAAGCAAATAAAATTCATATATAAAATTTTTCCTTTTTTAATGCATGCTTGGCATGGTAGGTTTTCAAATAAGTGTTTTATATTCTATTTTTCAAGAGACTACATACTCATACAAATGGCTTTATGGCTGATAAACACATACATACATATATACATATGTATGTACATAATTGTTGTCGCTGAAATACAAAATTACTGAAATATCTGAAATATTTCTGGTCCCACAGCGCACAATTGAAACATTTTTCACTCTTGGTACTTATGTATTGAAAGCAGTTTTCCTTATAGTATGTGTACTGACTTTCAATAATTAATGAAATTGGAATAAACTTAATGTTAATATTTTTAGATGTGAAACAAATTTTATTACTATACGGAAAATTATTAAATAACTTATAAAAATTACTTAATAAGTAATAATGTAAGACTGTATAAGTAATAAATATTAGACTCATATTTAAAACAAGTTAATACTAGTTGACATATTCTTTTGCCTAGATTTAGGCTGCGGATCGAACAAAATCTTTTAATCAAATATTGGATTGTGATTCAAATGTTACCTAACGTTTATTTTCTTGCGCCTTTAACCAATAAAATAAAGAACATTTGTAAAGTAAAAAGAACATAAAAATAACATTTATTAAAATTTGTAAATCGTGTATTTTTGTTTTGGTTATAATTCTCTTTATAAATAGAATAACAATCTATTGTAGTTCAGGTTCAAAATATTAAAAATTGGTCTATTGACGCAAAATAAAATCGCGGTACATAAGTATACATATGTGTACTTAGGAATAAATCGTTTAGGCATAAGAAAAGTTGACCTAGACACAGATGAAACGAAAATAGTTCCAGATTTGCGTAGTATTGCACTTTGAAATTAAAGTTGATAAATAAAATCATTTTATATACACTTGTATTTATATCAGTAAGTAGGCACCTAACTGATATGGAATGTGATTGTGGCTCGCTCGTACACAACCAAATCAAACATATGTATGTACATATGTATGTGCATACATTTATGGGTTTGTTGTTTAATCAGAATTATGCCCAAGGGGGGAAGGAATGCAAGCCAAAGACCAGATAGCTTATCAAGAGCCGAGTACGTTTTGTTTGCAACAAAGCGTCGCGACGACGCAACTGAAAAAATCAGTCGCTATTCTACCATCGAAACGTAAACTGTTCCTAGCAGAACCAAAGCAGGTTTTAATATTATTCCAGGATGGCACAGATTGGCAAAATTGGGTTTCTTGGCGGGGGCAACATGGCCAAAGCGTTGGCCAAGGGCTTCTTGGGCGCGGGTAAGGTAGTATTTCAATTACTTTTGAACAATTTTCAGCAAAATTGCATCATCAGGTTTGACAAAGCCCAGCGCTATTATTGCCAGCGTGCATCCTGCTGATAAGTTTTCGCTGGAGTCCTTCAAAGCGCTCGGCATAGAGACTCTGGTCGAGAACGCGCCGATTGTCCAGCAGTCCGACCTAATCTTTGTGTCCGTAAAGCCGCAGGTGGTGCCTCAAGTACTTAAGGAGGTCAAATCGCTGAGCGCCGGAAAACTCTTTCTCTCCGTAGCCATGGGAATCACGCTTCAGACGCTTGAGTCCAGCCTGTCGCCGGAGTCACGAGTGATCCGCGTGATGCCCAACACCCCGGCACTGCTGCGCTCCGGCTGTTCGGTTTTTGTGCGTGGTAGTCAGGCCACTGATGTGGACGCACAGGTAACACAGCGGCTGCTTGAGGCCGTGGGCACCTGCGAAGCTGTCGACGAATCGCAACTGGACACAGTGACTGCACTGAGTGGAAGTGGGCCAGCCTATGTGTTTGTGATGATTGAGGCGCTGGCCGATGGAGCCGTCCACATGGGCATGCCTCGAGACATGGCGTATCGGTTAGCGGCGCAGACTGTGTTCGGTGCTGGCCACATGGTCCGTGAGTGTGGCGTGCACCCGGGCGTGCTGAAAGACAATGTTACCAGTCCCGCTGGATCAACAGCGGCGGCCTTGAAGCATTTAGAACGATCGGGTAAGGAAATGGTTTTGTTATTGGAAGTTTGATAAGGCAGCGATAATCTATCTCTTGCAGGTTTTCGTGCGGCGGTTGCGGGAGCGGTGGAAGCTGCGGCGTTACGTTGCCGCGAGATATCGGGCAAATAGTTTTATGTTTCTTAGACCCCCTAGGTTAAGAATATTATTATTAATTATTCAAATTATTAATCGGAAAATGGAAATTCCAAACGGTAGAAAAATGTTAAACAGTTTTATAGTTTGCAGCAATGTTTTGCTGAATATACTCGAGATTGAATTAAAACAAAGATATAGTAAAATTATTCGGCAAAGAAAACAATCATCCTAATTTAATATTTAAGCAAGCTAACTTCGTTTTTAAAAATTGTCTGAACGTGTTTTCCAAAGACTGTAAAAAACACACAAAACCAAAAAGAGTGTGATCATTAATATACTTTCTACAACATTAATAAAATAAATCAATGTCAGTCGTTAACTGTAAAAATATAAACATACTCATTGTTTTTGGCAGCGGGGCTCACTGAAAACTAATAACTTTCCAAATAAGATGCGCCATGATCTACAGAGTAATTTAAAATATAAGAAGCCCACAAATTTCCAACTAAATAATTGAAGTTTAATAGTCTTTCTCTTTCGACTTCTGAAAGAGCCGCATTGCAACATTGCAATAAAACATGTATATATATGTCTCTATTATAATACATTCCGACTTAAGCTATTACATAGTAATCCACAATATTCGAAATATTTGGATTGTGGATCTTAAAAAGCCTAAAGAATCCCACATTAAGCTTTTATAAATAAAAACTTCAGCAGCCGCAGGTCTAGAACTTTTTGCGTTTGTTAGCGCGGGCCAACTCATTGAGCTCGCCTTGTTGTATGGCAGCCTCTTGGTAGATACGTTTGACCTTCTCCTTGCGCTCATTATCGCTGAAATGTAAAATAATTTTTTATTTAAATTCAAACAAACACACCTTAGGAGATTGCTGTTAATGGTCACTAACCTTTGTAGCTGCTTTTTAATGCGCAGTTCTTGGAGATATACAGTATCGCGGCGTATTTCACGTATGGCGCCTTTCTTTTCGCGTTTGATTTTTTGTAGCAACTTCGCGCGCTCTTCCTTCTCCTTGGTCATCTTGGGTCGTCGCTTGTCATCATAGACGGCCTCGAAGCGTGGCTCCAGCATTCTCAGGGCTTTTGGCTTCTTCTCAGCCGGTGCTAGCGGCTTCATTGGACGTGTCGCAACTTGCTCAAGCGCATTCTTGCAGGCATTCAAGTTTTCATTCACATACGCAGGATAGGATTCGATGGGCAAGCGCGAGAGTAACGATAGAAACGGCGTCGCCAGATATGTAGCGCCTACATGTTCGCCCACCAGCTCGGTTGCGTCCTTTATTAAACCTAACGTTGCACTCAGCACACGCACCTTAAAATCAAGTGACAGTGTATGTGTGACGAGATCGGTTGCTTGAAGTGGCATCTGCTCGATCGCCTTGCTCTCAGCACTGCAGCCAATAGCCAGAAGCTTGCTAAAGGGTCCGTTCCGCTCAAAAGGTGGCGTAATCTCGAGCACCTCATCCGGCTGCTTGGGTATGCACATGTGAACAATGCCTTGTAGATAGTTGAAGACAGCGGGTAGCAGGCGTTTGGATCTCTGGCCAAATTCTAATGCGATGGTGACCAGTAGAATACCCATTGAAATATCCTGACGCGTGCGAACGTGCGCATGAGACAAGATATCCTGCATGAAGATGTACGTGGGCGTAGCCAGCGGGTGCCTGAAGTCCGACGTGGAGTAGATGTTGGACACTAGTTTGAAGTATACGAGAGTATCTAGAGTGGGATACATTTTTGGATGTTTGGAGTACGTGCTATATTTTTCTTTGATCACGTCAAGCAGCGTATTTGACATGCGCTCGGGGTTGAGGTGCGTTAGGTCATACATCAGTGGCACGAGTAGCGATAGTAACTGGAAGTGTTCACTTATTTCGTCTTCGCTGGCATCCTCAAACAATTCATGTATATACTGCAGCAAGAAAGCGTAGAGTTTGATCACATTTTCTCGATTGACACCCTCTAGCTTTGGATGATTGCACTTCATAATCCGCTCTACTATGGTGGCCTGCTGCTCCACTGACCGTTTATTTAGAAGTTGCGTGAAATTATCGTATGTTTTGGGCATTTTTATGGTAAAGGGTATAGAGGTGTCAAGCGAGGCTGGTTCATTTGATTTCTGCGGCTTTTTCTCCTTTGGCGTCTGCGGCAATAATTCTTGCTCGGAGTCGCTGTCGGACTCTTTAAGATCACTGAGATTATCCACATCAGATTCACTGCTATCATCACTATCATCCTTCTCCTCTTCTTCGATGTCGTCATCGCTATCATTCACTTCCTTGTCGCGTTTATTTGTTCCACTTTCTCCATCGAAGTTTGAGTGCGTACACAGTTTTCCGTCCTGGTCATAGGCTAGCGTCGTGTCCTCATCGTCCAGTCCTGCCACAAAGTAGCTGTCGTCCAAATCATCAGCAGAACGGTGTTTCGGCTGCACGTTCGAGGTTTCCTCCTCACCGTCGGCATTCATGCGCCGCAGCCGTTCATTTTCCAGTTTCTCCAGACGAGCAGCCTCCTGCTTGGCAAGGTCCTCGGGTTTTATTAGTTTGTCTGTAACAGTTCCTCGGCGATCGAAAGTCATTTCCTTTATCGCCCTGTCGTACGAGTCCATAGGTGGTTTCTCACGCATCTGTTCCTTCGAAGTTTGGCCCACCAGTGATATTAATTCCTTGTAGTTGGCATCCAATCTCTCTGTCAAGTCATACACCTCATCTTTTTCTTTGGCAATTTCATTTTTACGGCGCTTCTGCTCGGTTATCATATCTTCAATGGCTGCTTGCCGGTCCTGAGGCGCGTCGCCATCGCCACCAAAGTGAGTTGCTGCTGTGAATTCAGCTAAAGAGGCAATACAAGTTCAGTAAAAATATTACACACATAATTTATCTGGCATACTAACCGTCCAAACGCTCATCGTCTTCGTCATCGGAGCGCTCGTCTCTGTATTGTTCAATCTCCTCGAGTGTTTGCCCTCTATGGGTTAGCAACTCATCATCGTTTAAGTTGAACTTTTCTGCCTTGCTAGATGTTCGCACCTGCGACAATTTATCTGCCAAATAACGTGCGTTAAGCACGGAATCTGTGAGCTGATCTCCACTCAAGTGTCTGCCAATACGGTTGTCCACGAACTTGTTGGTCTTGTGCTTCACCTCAAACTGCTTGCCTAGGGTTTGGGAGCGCCTTTGTTGCGCCTTTGCACGCGACACCCCTGGCATTCCCCTGTCATGCTTGCAGATGCGTCCCAGGATCTCGAATTTCTTTTTGTTGACATGCACATCGAACGGATTCAGCTTTCTAGCGGTCTGTGGCTTTGCCGTCTCGAAAGGATTGATGACCTGGGTCTTCTTCTTGGCATGCACTACATCGGCGTTGGCTTTTTTGTGTTTGGCTCCCATTATTTATAGTTTTAACACACCTATTTAAACTGCATGAAAATAACAACAAAACACCGCACACGTGCGACTAGCTCTACACCGATAAGCTATCGAAGTATTCGATGACTATTAATTTCTTATCGCTTATCTTGTGGCGCAGCCCTGGCTTGCTGGATTATCCAACACTATCTCCTGTCGCCATTTTTTCACAGAAAAAATTGGCTTTGGGAAACTGCTTAAATTTCGTTGAATTAGGAAGTAAATTGTTAATATTACAGCTGTTTGCAACAATTGATATAGTTTGCCTCAATTAAAAAACTGATATGAGTGCGACTCCGCCGGAACTACTGCAAATGGCAGCAGCCGGCATCAAAGAAGTCTCCAACGGCAATGAGAAAGAATACCGAAGTCGTGGCGGCGATAAGGAACGCTCCAAATCGAAAGACCGCAGCCGAGACAAGGATAAAGACAGGGAGCGCGAAAAGAAAAAAAGGTGGGTGATGTGCAATGGCTCTAACACCATATGGGTAACCAGTCCATTTTTAGGGATCGGGATCGTGAAAGCAGGGATCGAGACCGGGAGAGCCGTCGTCGGGAGAGTCGTGACCGATCACGTTCAAGAAATCATGAGGATTATGATGGCCGGCGGAGAAAACGTTCCCGCAGCAAAGAACGCCGACGAGACCGGGACTCCAGGCGCTCCAGACGCAGTGGTTCCAGAGGTGGACGGGACGACTACGATCGCAGCCGTGAATCGCGCTCCAGACGCAGCAGCTCTCGAGGTGGACGAGACGAGTACGATCGCAATCGGCGTCGCCGCTCGCGTAGTCGGAGCTATGAGCGCAGACGTCGAGATAGAAGTCGGGAGCCCCAGCGCAGTACTGAGCGTAGCAGCCGTGAGCGCACACACGTGAATCCTTTCGAAACTCCTATGAACTCCATAATGAGTCAAGAGCAACGACTACCCTCACTCTTTGATCGCCAGCCACAACTGGAAACCATACGCGAAGAGCCACGAGATTCGCGTTTTGATTTATCGCAAACCATACAAGAGCTCATGTGCAATTCGTCGGCAAACAAAAGTTTTGCCTCTCTTTTCAACAGTCAAAACAGCAACGATTCAACAAGCAATGGACCGTCGGACAATTCAAGTGAGTTTCCTTAGTTTTAATTGTAACATTGGTTTTTATTGAATCTTCTAAATGCAGTGGACAGCGCAGCGGAGCGTAAACGCAAGCGCAAGTCACGCTGGGGTGGCACAGAGAACGATAAGACCTTCATACCAGGAATGCCAACTATTTTGCCTTCTACGTTGGATCCGGCACAGCAGGAAGCCTATTTAGGTAATGTGGCTACCGTCCAGTTAACATTTGATATATTGAAAATAAGTTAGTTTTAAGTGTAGTTGTAAGTTTTTAATGCAAAACTAATAAGCCAACAAACACAACAGCCACAAATAGTAGCGGGGCATCACAGTCACCTACACCCCCTAACGGTCACAAACCAGTCGGCGGACGTGCGAACGTAAAATCATCACAACTAAATTGCATTGAGCAAAATATAATAATATCTCATTCTCTTTTTGAAGGGATTCCTGCGTGTGACACAATCGACACGAGTGCCCAAGGGCATGAATACTCGTACATGCCCCGAAAAAGCAATCACAAATAACTAATCAAATGATCAAATCTAATTGTATAGCCCACAAATTTTCCAGTTAGGTAGGCACGCGTCGGCGCTGTTTATAAAACGGAAACACAAAGAACCCCAATTTACTTTTGATGCAGGCTATTGAAATCATTTTATTAATATATCTTCTTTTTTATTTCATATCGACTTTCAACCTTTAACGTTTACTAATATCGAGGTTGCGCTCGATTTTCTTTCTTCTTTTCTAACGCCTTCTAATTACAGTTCAATTTCAAATCGAGGAGATCAGCCGCAAGTTACGTACCGGTGATTTGGGAATCACACAGAACCCGGAAGAAAGGTTTGAAAAAGTTCTCTCTCATACATATGTACTCCCTCATTCTCCAATCGCATCTAACAACGAACGGACAAGAACCGACCGTGAACAAAGCGTGACTGCTGAATTTGGACACTGGTGGTTGATGATCCTGTACAGGTTTCATTGTGTTGCACGCAATGCAAAGATGCAAAGATGCAGAGCTGAATATGTTTGTATAATTTGAACCAAGGCTGCAAACCGCGCCGGTATCGGCGAATCATACTTTTACAAAAGTCAAAACCAATACTATTAACAAACTTAGATTTGGATTTATTTTCGAATTAATACAACTAAGTAAATGGAAGGAAAATTTGAGCGGTTTTCAGCCTTGAATTTAACATATATATTTTTATTTGACTAATTTTTTGGGCACCAACACAACTCATTTGCTCATTTGTGCTAAGCAGCGACCTCAAAGTTTAATCATAATTTAAAACACAAAACATTTGTATCTAGGTAAGGGGGCAGTTCAGAATCTGGCGAGTGGAATTCGCTCGTCCATTAATAATATAAACTAACTCAAGTTTTATTATTTGAAAAAGCACCTACAGCTTTTAGATACAGCGATTTATCTAGATCACTAGATGATCCCTAGGATCGTGTGTCGTATGTAAGCGCCTGGCGATACGTAACATAATATTTTTAATAATGGCACTTTCTTCTCTCCCATTAAGCCGTAAGCGTTAATTTCGTAGTGCAAGCGAGAAAAACTTAAAAATTGAATAATTTACTACACAGAGGTGCTCGAACGAACTGCCAGCAGCAAGCCGAGATCCACCTAATTAGACTATAGAAAACCAAATCAAATGAATTAATCAAAATTCTTCTTTTCCCAACTCTCCAGCGAATTTCTAATCACAAACTTGCTAACGATTAATCAATGATTTGAAAATTACAGGATATGCATTTTCTATATGTAATATTTATAAGATCATTAAGTCTAGTCAAAAGCGTCTACCAGGTCTACCGAACACTTCCATTTCAAAAGTGCCATCTTTTCGTTTTTTCTTCTCGTCCACAGGTCTCCCTCCCCCGAGCCCATTTACAGTTCAGATGGCAAGCGTTTGAACACGCGTGAGTTCCGCTACCGAAAGCGTCTCGAAGAGCAGCGCCATCAGCTGATATTGAAAATGCAGGCTGTAAATCCGGAATTTAAGCCACCGGCCGATTACAAGTAAGTTAATTCAGAATACAAAGTTGTAGGTTCGATATAGGACATGGACACATCAAAGGACTGTCGCCCAACTATACTTGAATAGTAGTGCTGTTATCAGAAAAATGTGTTTTAGAAAAGCGTCGATGTAAGATGGTACATTTTAGTTTTGATCAAGATTTAAGACGACATACATTTACTGCAAAATTCCATCCGCAATAGGGGAAATGATTCCAATTCTTCTCAGTTGAAAATCACGGTGACCTAATATTTCTCTATAGATTTGTGCCATCAATTTGTATAAATGTGAAGAAAAGTTGTAAGGGCGCGGGACCTAAATCAGTAGCTTCTTCTACCCCTTTCTAACTTGTATTATACACTTACTTCTTACTGTAGGCCTCCTGTGACACGGGTCAGCGATAAAGTGCTCATACCGCAGGAGCAGTATCCGGACATCAACTTCGTGGGATTGCTGATCGGGCCACGTGGTAACACGCTAAAAGCTATGGAAAAGGAGACGGGCGCTAAGATTATAATACGGGGAAAGGGTTCCGTTAAGGAGGGCAAAGTGGGACGTAAGGATGGACAGCCCTTGCCGGGTGAAGATGAACCGTTGCATGCGTTTATCACAGCGCCTTCGCAGGAGGCGGTAAAGAAGGCAGTAGACAAGATCAAAGATGTCATACGCCAGGGCATAGAGACACCCGAGGGTCACAACGACTTGCGTCGCATGCAGCTGCGGGAGCTAGCCCAGCTTAATGGCACTTTACGGGAGAACGACATCCAACGCTGCACGTGCGGCTCAACGGATCACAAGTCCTGGCAGTGCCCCGAAAAACCAATTATCACGAATACCATCGTCTGCACCTCTTGCGGTGGCGCCGGTCATTTGACCAAGGACTGCCGCAGCAAGCGCCCAGGAGCTGGCGGACCAGGCATGGGACCCTGTGAGGACTCACAAGCGAAAATCGATGAGGAGTACATGAGCTTAATGGCTGAACTGGGCGAAGGCCCACCGCCTAGTGTTCCTAAAGCCGATGCGCAACCCGCGCCCACTCTGCATCGTAGCAGCTACAGTATTTTCGACAAGAAACCCTCGCAAATGCAGGCCATACAATCACCGCCAAGCTCTACTTCGCGAGACCATCAGCGCGACATGGGCGGCAGTGGTTGGGGCTCAGCTCCGCCCACAGGCAATGGCATGGGCATGTCTGCATATGTGCCCACACCACCGGTGGTTCAAGCGCCGCCACCTATGCCGCCGCCACTTATGCCCTGGATGAGCGCACCGCAGCCGCCACCACCGGCTTCCGAACCCATGAATCCGCCGATTCCGGGCACCATGTCGCCGCTAATACCACCACCGCCGGGAACCAGCAACCCTCCCATGCCACCCTGGAGCAGTGGACCACCGGGTATGATGCATCCGGGTGGCTACGGTGGCTGGGGTGCGGGCTATCCGCCGCCACCCCCACCTCCATGCGCACCTCCTCCACCAGCGCTCAGCCTGGCGCAACCGCCTCCTCCACCACCTCCATCAAATTAAGTGGGGCTAAAGATAGTGCTCAACTGATGAGACTCCTCGCAATTAAGTGTTTGTAAAATTAGTGACTTTTTACTCTAGCCTTGCTTGCATATTACCTAACCTCAAAGACACACATACTTTGTATCTTATGCTTCATTTAGTAAACGCTTGACGAGAATCCATCTGTTGTTCTTTGCTTTATTTAGATGTATACGGGTAGAATGTGTGGAGTGTGCCAATAGTTTAACTTGAATATCAATAGAGACTGACATCTAACCATGCTTACTAAAGTATTGTTTCGACTCATCCACGTCGGGCTTGATGGTGGCTGGATTTGTCTTTGGATTCCAATTGGCAGGGCACACTTCGCCGTGCTCTTCAACGAACTGGAAGGCCTTAATCAAGCGCAGCACCTCATCGACTGAACGGCCAACAGGCAGGTCGTTAATAGAGTATTGACGCAAGATCCCTTTCGGGTCAATGATAAATGTGCCACGTAGGGAGATGCCTTCCTTGTCCAATAGCACATCGTAGTCGGCTGAGATTTGCTTTGTGATGTCAGATAGCAGTGGGTAGTTGAGTTTGCCAACACCACCGTTCTTGCGATCTACATTGCACCAGGTCAAGTGGCTGAAATGTGAGTCCACCGATACACCCACAACCTCGGCGTTAATGTCCTGGAACTCCTTTATACGTTCACTAAATGCAACAATTTCGGTTGGGCAAACAAAGGTGCTGAAATGATGTGATAATGCAAAAGCTGTTAACAAACCCACTTTTGAATGCTTACAAGTCCAAGGGATAGAAAAACAGCACCAGATATTTGCCTCTATAGTCCTCTAGTTTAATCTCCTGAAAGTCGTTGCCTACTACGGCCAGGCCCTTGAAGTTTGGCGCCGGCTGTTGCACGCGCACGGTGCATAGCGGCGCAGCTAAACAAAGAATCATTTATATTCAGGTGGGTGGGGTGCAAATAGTTTACTCACTCTGGTGCAGCAAACGTGCAGCGAATTTTTGCTGCCCAGCCACGGCTTTCCTCAGCAGTGGGACCTGCAATGCACGTCGAGAATACAAATGACTGCATGTTACTTTTAGTTGCGTTTGGTATGCCAAAAATTACGTAATCGTAGCAATATCTCGTCTTTAACTTAAAGACTAGGCAGAATCTCAACTTACGTTACGTAGCAGTGTGCGGCCAATGAAAGACATGCTGAAGTTTTATTTATATCTAACAAACAGAACAAAAACAAGTATATGCAAATGGTTATCGTGTTAACATCCACCTTGAAGACAAAAGCCAACGAACCAGCCGGTAGAGAAGCAAACGCCAAATGAAAGTACAAAAACAAAACAAATGACATGCGAGAGCTTTTGAACTGGTTGGCAGTGCTTGTTGGCCTATCGATAGCTGGTTGGAGTATATCGATAGAAATAATCGTTTCAAGTAAGGAAACGATGATCAATTCAAATCTGCAGCGGGAAAATAAAGTAAATGAGCAATGCAGACGCTAAGAATATGTTTCAAGTGCAAGCCGCGTGTGCTAATTCCAAGATCAAATGCGATATAAAGACAGATTCCCCCAAACACAATGGATAGGAACCGTTGGACTTGCATTTGAATTTGTCTACTTTTGCGAGAACAATTGAAAGTATAGCAAAATATTTATCACGCATTGCACACGCCGCACAATGGTAATAAGCTATAAAACGATGGCCAAAACAAAGCCTTGGCATTGCTACGTACATACATAAATTGTGTATGTACTCATGTGTATGTTTGTATGTATTTGCTCTACATGTGAAAGGAATTTTGTTTGTTTGTTTCCTAATCTAGTGGTAATGCCCAAAAGCAGCTCAGTAACACACAGAAGACGGCGGCCATTACAAAAGGAAAGCGCATGCATGAAAACCAGAGCTAGGAAATAATAGAATCTATTTTCTTTGGTTTGTGGCCGTCACAGACAATACAACACCGCTGCTCTCGCACTCAGTTTCGATCTTGATATTTTTGTTCATAGAAGCCGCTCACATAGGCACACTCACACGCATATTTCCATACGCACATGCATAAATGCATATGTGAAAACAATGGCTAAACAGGAGCGAGGGCACGCGTTCTATGCCTTCACATATTTAAGCGCATTTTTGGGATAATGTTGGCAAAACATCTGACCGTTCGCTGCACGCCCAGACCTTTTAGGTAAGTACAGCAACACCCACTCATTTAGAGTTGCCCTTTGTATCGTTTCGGCTTCATGCAAATGCTTATCAGCACGATTAACAACCCCTCATTGTCCACCCCTCCGACCACCATTTTGTTTGAAACTCTGCGTGCGCGCACTTACTTTGCCACAATTAGACAATTCCCATGTTTGCAATTACGCCCGCCCATTGCCCATCGCCATCGACATACACCCAGCGAACGCCCAGCCACGTACATGCATATGCATGTAAGTATTTATATACATACATATGTATGTATGTAGCTGGTGCAGCTTCCCTCACCCGCCGACTGCTCCCGGTGCGCTCGTTTGTGGGTTTTTACAATTTTCGCTGCTTTTCATCTGTAATTTGGCGAAAATTACCCGCGCACTCCAAGTGTCCATCAGTCCATGTTTCTGTTATTTTGGTCGTTAACTTGTTTATGTAGGATGGCGATAATGTGGGCAACGCTCACAGCGACAGGGGCGGAGTGTAAAAAGCTAATGCTAAGTAATTTTGCAATTATATCCGTAACTTTGATTTGAAGTTGTGGTTAAAATGTCACACGAGTAACCATTTTGTGTATATAGTACTTATTCACCATGCCAGTTCGCGCAATCCATCCCATAAGTATATAATTAATTAAACATTATATATACAAGTAGTATGTATGCACATCAACGTACATACATACATGTTTTCTTTTTTATTTCTTTAATTGTGAAAAGAGAAAAAAGTGTAAATAGTAGAGATGAACAAGAATTAATAGTAGAGGTGTGAAGTGGTGGAAATGACCCCGATCGCCACCTTTGCCAACAGGTCTATTGGACCCATCCCGGGATGACCAGGGTGGCGTCGTCTGATACTGTCCTGAAAGAGCTGCATACTCGCGGCGACTATATATGGCTCCTAGTTTTTGTGGCTTCGTTCCAGACGGGAGCTCCATATAACATCGTTGCCCGAGTGACTCCCGTTAGGAGAAGTCTGATTCCTTGTCTCGGACCGTATGTTCGTATATATAGTACATACATTTATGTATTTATATTCGTATTTACAGTATACACGATCTTAAAACGGTTTTTAAAATTTCTTGAAATTGATGAAGGGTTTGGTGGAAAACGTTAATATGAGAGAAAAAAAACCTTTCTATTAACTTTGAAGTAGCTTTAAATATTTAAATAAATATGTGTCTCAAATTAATTCCCGCCACTAGAGAGCAGACATCTTTTGGGGCTATAAGTATTTGATTTTGATGGATTGTAGTTTCATGAAATCGACAATAAAATAAGTTCCCCTTTAGTGATTGATGGTTCATGGTAGTAGAATCGTAGTCTTAAGTGCAGAAATGGGTAAAACTATGTTAGAAATTTGCCGGACACCCACACTGGCTTGATTATTTGCTCCGAACTTGCATCTCCATAATGCATTAATATTTGTGTATATTTTCAATTCAAAAGTGTGGAAGCTTAAGTCGCTTTGTAATATTAGGGATTGCTTATTCACAGCCCTGGCCTGCGCTTCAACAGCTATTCTTGGAACATCTACACTCACAATTCTCAACCTGTTTTAAATCTGAAGCATTGAACTAATTCCTTATGCTAAGCCCAGACTGCTGGACTACTCTGTCCAATTAAAGCGCCCGACGCTTTGTCTGCGTTGTTTCTGTCGTCATGCTTCTTTGCTTATACCTTTGGCATAATTTAGGTAAACAGTACCTGAACGTGTGGGTCGATCTGTGTTTATTTTGCGAATACATCTAATAGGGCTCAACAGGCAGGGCCCACTGCATCTTAGGGCATTGATCAATGTGCGTGGTTGTCGTTGGTATCGTCGTTCACACGCATTGCGTGCTCTGAAGTGCTCCGGCCTTCCCGCTTTGCGACATTGTCAAACAGATGCCGTCATATTAGCGCAAATCTGCTTACCTTTTGTTACGTTTCGAGTACCGTTCCCGCTGCCACTGCCGATATCTCTGCCTCTGCTGCTTAGATACTTTAACGCCCGAGCACTTGCGCTATTGTCTGTGTGCTTCTGGCCTACATTCTCGAGGCGTTCTTGATTTGTGACAATTGTCAAACGCACGGCTTATGTTCGAGGTGCAAACGCTTGGCCTGCTTTTCGATATGCTCGCAGTGCGTAATCGTAATCCTGATGCAAATCTAGTCCGGCACTCGAGTCGCGCTTTGTAATGAGTGCAAATGTGATTCGTATCGGGAGTGTGGCTGTCTTTGCTCCGTTTTTAGAAGGTCTCCGCAGGCTGTTGTTCTTTTAACACTTTGTACAAATTCGAGTGCAGTTGAGCTAATTAAGAAAGTGTTCAGACTCTTACAATCTTTGAATCATCAATCCGCCACAAAAAGTATCGTATGCCTTTTTTTTGCGTGAGAATCGTGCAATGCCGCTATAAATGCCAAAGGCAGGTGTGCTCAGATAGATACCCTATAGGAAAAATTCAAACTTGGATTCGTCTCTTTCGCTTTTACAGACTCTCCATTAAGGGCGACTGCAATGGGTAAATTGCCATTTTGCTATCTGCAATTTATTTGATTGTAAAATGCCATTAAGCTGGCATTATAATTATTGGCTGTTTGGTTGGATTCTCATTGGAGTAGAGCCGGGGGTGTTTGTTTGGACGCTCATTTGTGGTAAACGCACTTACCCATCCAAAAGAGTGAAATAAAACGCCACACTCAACTGGGGAAATTGCAATTTGCATTTCTCTTGTACAAAAGCACACAGCAAATGTGTGTGTGTACTCACAAGCCTATGGATGTGCAACCACAAGGTATCCAAATTGAGGTCTCAATTCACATATGGAGCATATTGCTCCTCCAAAAAAGAATGACGCACATGTTTTCTGTGGCTTAAACTTTATATTTGTACACCGAATTGTTAATATCCTCCCTAGCGCTTTGCTTTAATATTTGATCTGAATTTTGTTGCAACAATTGTGTGTCAATTATACTTACTAATGGTCAACTAACAGCATTGTAAAGTTTTTGAAAAAAATAATATTTGTAGGTGTTTTTATACTCTGTACATGAAATGTACAGAATTATATTAGGTTTGCGGGAGCTGAAAAATGTAACAGGCAGAAGGAGGCGTGGCAGACCCCACAAAGTATATATATTCTTGATCAGCATGACGAGACGAGTCGATCTAGCCCTGTCTGTCTGTCTGTCCGTCCGTATGAACACCTGGATCTCAGAGACTATAAGAGATAGAGACACCAAAGATGCACAAAGATGCGTTATGTGTGTATTCTATACGAGTTTGTTTTATTTTTTTGATTTCCCCCCCCCCCCCCCACTACCCCCCTATGGGGGTTTTCCCGGTTTTCCATTCGTATAATCGCCTATATCTCGGAGACTATAAGATCTAGGAACACCAAATTTTAGTCCCAGATGCCTTATGTGAATACGCAGAAAATGTATATTTTGGAATTTCCCTCCCTCCCCCCTCTATCCCGCAAATGTGATTTTCTCTAACTCCCGTAATTCTTGGAATTTCGAACTAAAATTTTGGAAATACTCCCAATTGGTTATTATGTGTCCGTGTGTCAAGTTTCACTATGATAGACCGATTTAACAAGAAGTTATAGCCATAAATATATTTGCTGCTGCAGCGCTGCTCAAGCGCTGCCCAAGCGCTGCCTACGGCTGTTGTTGATGTTGCTGTTTAGTTGACTGCGAAAATGCTTACACAGACACAAATAGACGCGCATAAACATTCATACACTCACACATTGTAAACATATGTACAGAGTATTTCAAAGTCAGGACACCCGACTTTAAATTTTTTACTTGTTTAAATTACTGACTTAAAGTTAATTGGTCTGAGACTTTACGATCTGCCCTCGTATTGTTCAACAACAACAACAGCAAACATGAAAATGGCGCGAAAATTATTACCATTGATTTTTTCCGTTTTAATAGCCTTGCCATTGCATTGTTGCTTTTGCTGCTGCTGTCGATGCGGTTATCGTAGCTGTTGTTGCCACTGCCGGCTGCCACACAATTTTCACAACAATTTGAATACATTTATAAAAAGCGCTTTCGACCATTAATAATAATTGCTCTGATTTAAATTTTAATGGCAATCGTTGGTAAACAAAAGCAG